GGAAGGGAGCAGGGCCTCATGCTGGCCTAGACAGAATCTCTTCTTGTGTTACCTTTGAAGGGGAAGGATCCTCCCTCTAGAATGGTTTCTATCCCCCTGTCTCCTCCACAAAAGGGAAGAAGTCAAGGGAACATTGAAAGGACCGGATGAATTCCTGGCTCCCACTTCTCCATAAAAGGCCTGTGAGTGGTCTCTTAGGAGGTTTCCCTTAGAGTCCTGTGTTGTGCCTGAGCTGTTACCCTGAAAAGGGCTCAGGCCTGCTTTGAAACTTACTGTTCTCTCCTTAGGGACTTTCCCCACCGTGTTTTGTATATCTATATGTTCCCAGTGGACAGGGTGTTAGGGTAAGAGTCGGGGGAGAGGGCTGGAGGTACTAAGGTGTTGAGGGACAGGGTAGATCTGGTCCATTTGAATGGCAGTTTTTCAGCGATTTCCATCATATTCACCAACCCCATGTGACACACAAAACAAATATATAGAGAATTCACAACTTTATTCAAACTACAAAGAATATGCCCTGAAACAGTAGGCCAGTAACTTTGCACTTCTATTTACTACATAAAGCAGATATTTGGTGAACTGTTATTGATGGTGAGGTATGCAGAATTTGAATTTGGCTTAAATATTCCTTAGGAACCATTCCTTAGGAAATGGGAGCTATTGAAGCACCATTCACAGATAAAACAGGCAAAAGACTTGAATAAGCATTTCTCCATTCTTAGAAAATAGGAGCCATTAAAGCACCATTCATGGATAAAACACAGAAAAAAACCACAGGCAAATGACTTGAATAACTATTTCTCCATTCTTTAGAAAATGGGAGCTTTAAAGCACAGTTCACAGATAAAACACAGAAAAAAACCAGGCCCAGCCACATTGGTGAGGCAAAGGTGGATAAAACCAGGGCTGAGGAGCAGGCATGAACACAGTCGGAAAAGATACCATGGATGGCATCAGCAGCCCTAGCGGCAGTGGCTGATACCTTATCCAAACTGGTTGCGGATACCACATCCAAACGTGTGGCAGATACATCAAAGCAGGCTGCGGATTAAAGATGATATTGTGGGGCACACCCACATTCATGCCGACGGGGTTGCCCGGGGCCACGGGGCGCATGTTTCTCAACATATATGCCCTCTGTCGTCTCCGTCTATTCTTAAACCAAATCTTCAAACAGAGAGAAAAAGGGATTAGTTTAGTACATTGAGCATTTAATGTCATATCTGAAAAAAACCCCACCCACAACACACAGTAAGCAATGATATATGCCCTTAAGATTTTAAACTGTATCAGAGGAAGCTATTTCCTTCTTGCTCAAGCATCTTAGTAGAGTGCCCACCAAGGGAATTTTTAGCTCGCGCACAGTGAGCAGTACCTATGTGCTGGGATATGGTGTGGCCTATTGTTTTTTCTCTCCTCCCACATTTACTTTTATTGTCCCTACTCTTTTTTAAAAAATGTTTTATTGATTTTTTACAGAGAGGAAGGGAGAGTGATAGTCAGAAACATCAATGAGAGAGAAACATCGATCAGCTGCCTCCTGCACATCCCCTACTGTGCCCACATCCAAGGTACATGCCCTTGGCCAGAATCAAACCTGGGACCCTTGAGTCCACAGGCTGATGCTCTATCCACTGAGCCAAACTGGTTAGGGCTGTTCCCACTCTTACATGCAGATGGAACTGAGGAATTGTTCTCTGTGCCTACTGTTATTGCTATGCCTTCTATGTCTGTTTTCTGTGGGGAAGTAGACCACAGTAAAAAGTGGGTGCCTTTTACAATCCTGCTGAGGGGAACAGTCCCTGTTTTGAAAAGGCCTATCTATCTTCTTTGCACAAAAGAGTCTATAGGTGCACACTGGCTTTTTAGCCAAAAGCTTTCCTTCGAGGATGCCTAAAGGGTCATTTATCATCTGAAACCTCTTAATAGTTAAAAAGATGGTATTGTGAGGGAGGCTGGGTTATGGGGGCCCCAGAGAATTTGTGGCTTGTCTTGCTGGGATTCGAGAAAAGCTGAAACCCTGGAAGAGGCCTTAATATTTTAGAATTTTGAGGTAATAAATATCTAGACAGACTCAGCTAAATTTCTTAAAACTCTAAAAATCTTTGCCCAGCCAAGGTTCTGGAGGGAAGGAGCCAAACCACTGTCATAGTTGTCAATTCTGCTCACTCCACCCTGCCCCACCCTACAAACGTTCCTGGGCTCAGGACCAGGTCAGTGCACTCTGCTCTGGCTACAGTTCCAGGACTCTGCACCAGAGCTGCTGCTGTACCGCATGGTGGGGCCCTCAAGCCCTGCTACTCAACAAGGGGATTCCCTTATCCTTGAGGCAAGAAGGTGGAATAGGTATTTTAGAAAAGTAGACAAAACCATTTGGGTGAGGGGGTCACAAAATTACTCCTCCCTAAATATTTGCCAACTACTCTTGTAGACAAACAAATATGTCAGTTAGACTCTACTATATTCTCAGTGTCCTAGTTATTGGGGTTTACATCGTTTTTAAGTTCTTTTGGAAGTTTCCTAACTGAATTTTAAGAGACACAAAGGGCTTTCTCTCGCTGCTTGAGACCACATTTTCCCTCTTCAATCTTAGAATTTAGGTCTTTCTGCTGTATGAATATGTTGTCTAAACGACACTAGATTCAAGATCATTTTGTGGGGATCCAAGTGTACCCATGATCAGTTCTGCATAAACATAACCAAAACACAAATCAGGCTAATAGTACTTCCTTATTTCCAATGCTGGTTTCGTAAAAAAGTCATACTCTATTTGCAAAATAGATGGGGGAGGGGGCTCCATTAAAATTGCTTTGGACAAATGCTATGCGACCTCATGTATGTGTGGAATATTTTAAAAATCTAAAAAAAAACCACTCATAGAAAAAGATCAGATCTGTGGTTACTAGAATGGGGGATTGAGGGAGGGGAATTGGAGGAAGGTAGTCAAAAGGTACTTAGATCCAGTTATAAGATAAATAGGTCCTGGAAATATAACATACAACATTGTGACTACAGTAGACACCCCTCTGTGGTATAATATGAGAGTTGTTAGGAAAGTAAATCCTGCCCTGACCGGTTTGGCTCAGTGGAAAGAGCGACAGCCTGCGGGCTCAAGGGTCCCAAGGTTCGATTCCGGTCAAGGGCATGTACCTTGGTTGCGGGCACATCCCCAGTTGGGGGGTGTGCAGGAGGCAGCTGACTGATGTTTCTCTCTCATCTAACTCTCTATCCCTCTCCCTTCCTCTCTGTAAAAAAAATCAATAAAATATATTTTTAAAAAAGAAAGTAAATCCTAAGAGTTCTTATTGCAAGGAAAAAAAAACACTTTTTTCTTTTTTTGTTTGTAACTGATGGATGTTAACTAAACTTATTTTATCAGTCATTTCACAATATATGCAAGTGAAATTATCATGCTGTACACCTCAAACTTATACAGTACTGTATGTCAATTATATCTCAACAAAACTGGGAAAAATTTATTGTGGAATTAATGCCTTAGAATTTGGAAATGGATTAGAACATTTTATTTGTTTCTATGGCTCCTTTTTCCATTGAGACAACACTATGCAAACCCATGGAGGGGGGAAAGGAAATCACCAAAACTGAAGTGTTTCTTTCCCTCTGATCTGGCTTTGCCTGCAGGGAGAAAGCAGAGTCCTGGTCCACCCAAGCCTGTCCAGCCCTGACTGTGATCCCTGCCCTTAGCACTCAGTGGCCTGCGTGTTTGGGCTGCTTTTCACACAGTCCTCTACCAGATCTGTAGCCAGATTCCATTACTGCTCTCTCACACACTCTCTGCAGCAAAGCTAAGAAGCCCATCCTGATTTTTTTTCTCTTGTTTTCCTTCTCCATTTCCCCCCAACGTTTATCTTTGATACAAACTAGGTTTACCTATGGTCTCAGAAAAAACACTTCTTGATCCATTGACCCCTGTTAGTCATCACTGACTGAACAAATAAAAAAGTATTTCAAATTACCACAGGTGAGAATCCAGCCTGAACTATGAACCACCTTCCACTATCAACAAGTTAGACACAGCCCATCTCTTCACAGAAAGGAAGAAAACAATCTCTCAGGTATTAGAAATTTCTCAAGAGAATATTCATTAATGCATTTGGTAATTCCTAAAATTTTGCTGTGTGTGGTATCCCCAAGACACATGTTCTGCTCTATATTAATCTTACCTAACACTTCCACCTTTCTTAGATTGGTGGAACTCTGTTTGAAATTGTTTTAGTTTATTTCCCTTTTTAGACATATTTTAAATTACGTAACTCTTCGTTTAATCTCCAGCACAACGCACAACCTACTATGTAAAAAGGCTAACATATATTAGTATTCCAGAAAAATAAAACTTAGGGCTGGCACTCTCTACACTGTTTTTCTAAACCCTTAAAAAGAACAGCAGGAAAAACAGGCACTTGGACTTATCCCCACCATTAGTCTCACCTTAACTTAGCAGATATTAGTTGCTCATCTGTTGTGTTCTAATGTGTGAATTATTCCCTCCCCAAACCACTAAATATTTACAAATTCAATCTTTATGCAATAAGCTTATGCTTGTTTTCAAATAATTTAGTATAACTGAATTCCTTGGTTCATTAATATGAACAATTTCCACTTGACGCTTAACTCCAATGTGACTTCACACAGAAGTGTTCAGTCGAGGATATCAGTGTTAGGAGTTGAACTCTGTGTTTGTGTATAATACACTGCTATATGTAAGTATACATAGGCATAGCTTATACAAAGGTATATATGTATCTTTGTATACAAGGAATAGTACATTATAGGAATTCTTTTTTTCAATTGAAAATCATGTTCCCTTTGATAATGGGCAATTTCCAAAAGCTAGAGTTTATTTATCTTATTAATTAAGACCCCAAACTTGTTTTCCAATGATGGAAAAGGCAATGAAAACACACCAACTTGAGAATGTCTTGGACAAAGGTGTGTAAGTCCTGAAACAGGTTTTAGAATGGCTGTCCCGCCAAATAGCTTTATTCAGGTTTACTGACCTGCACCCGGGCTTCAGTCACATGCATGTGTCTTGCAATGTCCTGTCTGAGAGGAGAAAACCACAAATATTCAGTAATCAGAGATGGGGATGGAAATTAAATATATTCTTATTTACTTTTTCAGGGAAATGCCTGATTTATTTTATAAACCAATTTCTGTAGTAGGGACAGTCACACCATTTCAGGATTTACAGCAAAATTAAGTTGACAAAGCATTTTTAAGAAGCCAAGTCTCATGGAGGCACAGTTCCCAAGAACAAATGAAATTCAAACTTACTGTTTCTTTCAGTGTTACCAACTTCAAAATGACTAAAAAATATCTGACATGCCGAACCGGTTTGGCTCAGTGGATAGAGCGTCAGCCTGCGGACTCAAGGGTCCCAGGTTCGATTCCGGTCAAGGGCATGTACCTTGGTTGTGGGCACATCCGCACTGGAGGGCATGCAGGAGGCAGCTGATCGATGTTTCTCTCTCATCGATGTTTCTAACTCTCCTTCTCCCTTCTTCTCTGTAAAAAATCGATAAAATATTTAAAAAAATATCTAACAGAAAATATCTCTCCTAACTTTCAACCATTGCTCTTACACATTTTATGGATTAAATTAGATTCTTAAATGGATTGGCTTATCTATCTATCTATCTATCTATCTATCTATCTCTATCATCTATCAGTGATGCACAGATTGGAGTACATTCCTAGTAGATGCTAAGGGATGACACAAACTATCTGCTGTTCATTCTTTGATTGTGCTTATTTTTTAAAAATTTAATCTACCAACTCCCCCCCCGCCGCCGCCCACACACACACACCATTCTGTAATATCTGGCTTAAGGCTTGCTTTAGAGACAATATCGTCTCAAAAGCAAAGTGTAAGGGGATGCAGAAAAAAATCACTACTCAAGGTAAATAATTTTCAAATGCAGCATTACAGAAGATATAAATAAGTGCCAAAATAACCTATGATGAACAGATTTGTGAACATTTAAAATTAAGTTAGGATCTGGTTCTAATAGAACATTATTTAAAATAACAGGCGCCTGCCTGTTTCCCAGTTTGATTTATTTAAATTCCGCACGACAGCCCTGGCCCAGTGGCTCATGGTTGGAGAGTCGTCCCGCACACCAAAAGTTTGCGTGCCAAGACCGGTTTGGCTCAGTGGATGGAGCGTCGGCCACTGTCAGGGCACATATCTCGGTTGAGGGTTGATCGCTCAGGCACGTATGGGAGGGAGGCTCTCTCACATTCTCTCTCTCCCTTTCTTTCTGTGTAAAAATCAATATAAATAAATAATTTAAACAAATAAATATATACCACACTACATTATTTACCTTGAGTCCCAAAAGGCATAGCGCCCCCCCAGCCCCCAGCCCCCCGCAACCCAAGTGCGGGAGAGCCGCTGCCACCGACCTCCCCACAGCCACCAGTCCCCCAGATGGCATTTAGTTCAGAAGGGAAGGAGAGGGACCTGTTAGAGAGACCCAAAAGCCATTAGGCTCTTTGTCACGTGGTCTCTGGAAAAGGCCGCAAACTCCGGCAATGCGCTTACCTCAAGCACCTGTCCGGATAGGGGTAGCGGTGAAAAATGCGCTCCAGCTCCTGCATCTGCATCACGGTGAATGTGAAACGTTGGGCCATCGGACGCCTGTTCCGTGGCTGTGGACGCCGGATGTTGGCCCGGCGGGGCTGTTGCTCCTGCTGTTGCTCCTGCTGTTGCTCTTCTGGTTCTCCATGACTATCATCGCTGTCCTCATCAGGTTCGTCGCTTTCCTCATATATGGGGCCCGGGGCGTCTGAACCATCTAGGCCACTGTCAATGTCTTCTTTTGCTTTTTCTTCAGCTTCTATCACTTTTCCTTCTGCGGATGCTGCTCCTTGCTCAGGTATGGGCTCTGTACCCATTTCCTTTTCTCCCTCTTCGGTTGGTAAGTTCTCTGCTGGCTCTGCTTCTACAAAGAAAGAAACCCAAAGAGAAAGATAAGTGTGTTATGTAGCCCAGGCTGTGGGAAGGAGGAGGTGAGGGCCTGCATCTGAGGGGTGTCCCGTCCGCTCGCCTGCCCCAGAAAATGTTAGTTTCTTGGAGTTGGCTGAAGCTCAAGTCAGGAGCAGCACAAACCATGCAGTTCTCCCCTATCTTCCTCCACTTCTGGGCTGAGGAATTCATCGGTATCCTGGCTGGGCTGGCCCTGAGGCTTCATGTCCTGAGTGTTGTCCACGAGGCTGTGGCGTCTGCAGATGCTGTCGTGCGACCTGGCTCCTTCAAGGTTCTTCTGGAGTCTAGTGAAGCAAGAGTGTTCACCGACTGCTGGGGGTGGGGCGCCGAGGTGCGCATGCGGCAGAGGATTGGACGGTAAAAGGGAGTATACTCACTAGAAGGGGTCCAGTAGGGCGCATGCGTGAAAGCATAACTTGGGCCTTAAAGTTGCAACTTAGCAGACTGCTCCAGGCTTGGTGCAGCGTCTTCCCAGAGGAAGGGGCTGTGCTAAATTGTGCAAGCTGCTTTGTAGGGAGTAAAAGACAGACCTCACATTAGCTCTGGAGGCCTTAGAGAAATGTTTACATAATATCTTTTGGTCCAGCTTCATACACAGCAGTCAGTACTAAGCAGGGGGTAGTACTCAAACTATGTAAGAAGGCAGGAGGTTGTTTGTTAAATTTTTGCAACGAGGCTGACATCAGACCTTACCATACTTCTCAGGTTTGCAGAAATAAGAGGTTGGGGTTGGCTTTTGAAAGCACGCCAGGTGCTCAGACGCACTATGCAAAAAACAAAACAGAACAAAACCCAACAAACAACCACCACCAACACATATGAATGATATATGGTACTTGCCTTTCTCTGACTGGCTTATTTCACGTAACATAATACTTTTAAGATCCATCCATGCTATGACAAAGGGTAAGATTTTCTTCGTTTTTACATTCTAGTAGTATTCCATTGTGTAGATGTACCGCAGCTTTTTAAATCCACTCATTTACTGATGGGCACCTGGACTGTTTCCAGATCTTGGTTATTATAAGTTAGCAAACAAAATAGAAACAGATTCATAGATAGAGAACAGACAATTTTCAAGCTGTCAGTGGGGCTGGGTGAAAAAGGTGAAGGAATTAAGAAAAGAAAAACACAGTTAGAGAAAACAGTATGATGATTACCAAAAGGAAAGGGGGTGGGGGAAGTAGGAGAGGGTAGGGGGTTATAAATGGTGATGGAAGGAGACTTGACTTGGGGTGGTGAACACACAATACAATATACAGATGACGTATTATAGAATTGTACACCTGAAACCTATATAATTCTATTAACCAATGTCACACCAATAAGTTAAAAAACAACAACAACCATCAAACCCACCCGTTGAGTAAGTAAGTCCACTGTTTATAAACTTTTAGTAATGAATCTATTTCCACATGCAGGAGTAGAAACCTGTGCAGTGTTTAGAGCATAAAAGAATGCCCAAACTACAAGAGGCTCCTGGTTCTTACTGTGGATAATGCCTCTTTTGCTGTGTCTGTGCCTATATTCTCTCTTCAAAAGATCACTTGTTCCCTGTGCTGGGTGGATGCTGTGGACCTCGTTGAGTTTCTCCCTTTCCTGATGCTGCTTCCTCCCCTTTTCCTCTACACCTCTCTTTTCCTAGGAATATCTTCCTGAACTCTTGCTTAGGAATTAATAAATGTTATCTATTTTCAAATAAAGAGAGCCACCACAGATTGAGGGCTGTAAGGTTTTTTTCTTCAAGGAGTGTTTTGTAGATGCTGCAAAATGTGTTCATATTCTAATATTAAGACTAACAATGGTCCCTATGATTAGCAATCTATGTCAACTAGCTTATTTTTACCTGCATAACCACCATTGTTGCCAACCCTATTTTATATCAGAAATGAAGCTATTTTCATGGGCCCCTACCCTAAATGTATCATGAACCCCAGTCACCTTAGGTAGTGTGTCTAATAGGTAAGGGCCCCCTGCCTCATGTTCTCAGAGAATGGGTAAGAAAATAGCTTAAAGACAAAGTTTGGTTGACCACTTTCAAAAAGATAGGTAGAGATGGCAATCTGATATTTATTTAATTGTATACAGGGACTAGAAGAAGTAGTTCAGTTCTATTTGTCTTCCTTTAGGAAATCATGTTCCTTCTGGTAATGGGCAATTTACATAAGCTGGGGTTTATGTATCAGAATTCCAGATAAATAACATTTTTGCACAATTTTAAAAAAATCAAAATTAATTTTTATTATGAACAAGTTATCAAATTTTAGAATAAAAACAGGATCTGACCCTTCACTTGCATGACCAATGATCCCTTACTCTCCTCACCCTGATCACCACCCTTTATCTTTGGATGCCAGAGAGCAGCAGGGAAAGAAATTCGGCATCCTGTCTGCTGCTGTCAGGAAAGTTCATATCGTGGAATTCGCTGAAGCACATGTCCTGGTCCAGGCACTGGGCCTGAAGTTCCTCCCAGTCTTCGTTCACTCCCAGGTAACAGGTGTCATTGCAGTTGCACCTGGGTGGATGCTCCTTGTCCTCAGCACTGTCCATGTAGCTGTGTGTCTCTGCAGACTCTGGGGTCCCCAGTAATCTCTGGTCGGAACCTCTGTTGGTGTCTGGTCTCAGTGACAATGTCTCAGCCTCAGATTCAAAGCGTATGTATTACGCTGGCTATTGCCTTGGTCACATCTGTTAACGAAGGGGAGAGGACCTGGTCTCCCCCCATTGCTAGTAGGGGTGGATTTCTTGCAATATCCCGAGAAAAGGAATTTTCTGAGAATCATACAGGAGGATGAGATACAGCAGAAAGCTTTATTTTCGTGGAATTAAATCCCTGAGTTTCCAAAGTGCCATTTCCCTTTACCTAGTAATAGAAGATATGTAGCTGGGCTATAGCAAAACTAAAATCAGAATCAGTGTCCACAGTTTCCTTTCCATGTTGGAGCCGAGTCCAGTCCACCATCAGGCTAGATTAGCTTGTGTTTCCTGCAGCAATCTATTAGTCCATTGCGTGTGGGGTCTGTATGGCCCACAGAGAATGCAAGGAAGCAGGAACATTGTATGTGTGTGTGTTTGTCCTTGGGGGAGACATATGGCTGTGGGCCATGCGAGTGCCTGCAGGGGAGTGTGTCCTCAGCAACAAGAGAGCCAGGTGGAGTCACGAGAAGCGCACCAAGAGAGAGAACTCCTTTGTTTAGGAAATTATGTATTTCCAAATTTTCATGCGTTTGCAGTGGCCATGCCAATTCTGGTCAATAACCTCTGTTCCCAGGTGTGACTGACAGGCAGCACCTTTGCTGTCACCCCAACTTTACTGGGCATGTGTCTATCTTCCCTTTGTCCAGTCTCTTCCCCCAGTGTTTTGTAAGCCACACTGGCCGACCACAATTAACGGAGCTTCATTTGCTAACAGTTACTCCAAACTAAAAGTTCACCTGATAAGAACTCAATGCTTTTTCAAAAGTGGGCCTTGCCTCTTGACTCTCCTAACCTCATTTGCCCCTACCTTGGCAGTTCCACTCAAGGAGGCCATCAGGAGAAAAGCAAAGGTACAGCTGCTTCCTTCCAATGAGCGAGTCTTCTGCAACACGGCTCAGGAGACCCTCTCCTTACACTGGATTCGAGCAGCATCAAACCCAGTGTTCCCCGTTAGTGTTCTGCAGCAGAACTGGAATTCTCTCCAGGGTGTGCATGGGGACAAGGAATGATAATAGGCTTT